TTTATACTATATGTTTACAGAATGAAAAGGCATAATCAGTGTCTGACGATGTTTTCATCAAGACAAAGATACGTTCCTTCAAATATCTTGTATATCAAAAAGTTAGGAAAGTTATTGGTTGTGGATGTCGGTCGCTCGCAGATGTTCGAATGATAGATGGATTGTTCACCGTAACCGGATTGTCGATGACTCATAACCATGATTTACTGCTCGTTTTTCATGAGCAAAGCCAGTGTTCTCGTAGTTTAACAGAACAATAAATGAAGAGCGTTCGTCCATTTCTGATGTCGGAAGCTTTTATAGTAATCTATTTCGTTTATGAAACCTACAGAAAGTGTATATTATTGGGCAGAATATCTGCTTTAGGCGTGGCCGTGTATTTGAACAATAGAGACTTGCAGGTTTGTTTGGTAGTTTTCACAATATTGACTTGATAGGTAATTTTGAAATCTTCGCGTCCACTGTCTGGCTGGGGAAAAAACACAGATGCAGCATGACTTAGACAGTCAGCTGTAGTGCTATTTCTTCTGTATACGGGATCATAAAGGAACATGCCCCACTAGTTTATGGACATCGTAAGAATTGACGGCATTTATAAGTCTAACAGAAATCGCCACTCTACCATATAGATGCATTGAATGAGCCAGTGAATACAATACCAGTAGCCAGTGGATTTGCAACTCGAGAGATGTATGACTATATAGGAATTTTTCAGCCTCTTTCCTTGACAGTGTTTTGTCTGACATATCAATCGGAAGCTTCATTAGGAACGAGAGCCTTGCCATTAGTAATACTCTTAGTGTAAAGTTCACGGGTCCCCACTACATTTTATTTAAACCCCACATTGTATAAAACGTGATGTGGTGGGTAAGGAAAATATTATTTAGCCTGTTCCTGCGAAGTGGCTACTGGTTACCACAAGGTACCACGAATCAGTGAAGAAGGTTTTTGAGAAGATGATTATCCTTAATAAAATGTAAAACACCCCTCTTTATAGCCACTTTGCAAAGTTATGTAACGGTCATCTGCTTTTCTTGTTGTCGAAAAATGTTTTCAAGAAATGAAGAATAAATATATGTACACGGATGTTTTATTAATAATTATGAATTACTATTATTATTTAGCAGTAAAACCGTGATTTCCTGGAATTCAAAAAATAAACTAGATAAACTGAGTAAAGGTCATGAAATATCGACTGAGTTTGCGTAAGTTTAACGTAACCTTTAGTTGAAATAAGAGATTATAGATGATATTATATTGATCGATATTTGTGAAGTGGATTTAGACAAAGATGCTCAAGGCAATCCTTCGCTTTGATCAATTACATAATAATTTAGAATTTGGGTGTCTTTCATACATTTTCCATAAATAATAATCTAATACTAATGGAAAATAGTGATATAAGGCTCGTAAACTCGGCTCATCAAGAACCTCAGATTGTTGATGGTTGACATTATTTACTTAACATTTTTGTAGCATATTGGTATCTGTGTAGCTGAAATGTGTTAACAGAATTTAGATGCACCACAGTAAACGTTCATCACATGGTATGATTCACTTAATTCACATGATTTTGTAAAATATTAACATTGATATAAAATTTCATATTTTCAAAAGAAAACTTAAATTTAAGATTGTAATAAAATAATTTGACCTCCGCAGTAAATGAACACCCTTTTCTATTTCTTAAAACTGGGAAAAGAACATTCATCATAACAGTCATAATAATAATATTAATAATAACTATCAATAACGATGTTGTATCAGAAATAATCCTTAAGGTCTAACCATTGCTTACGAATTCCGTTTCATTAATAGCATAAAATAGATGAGGTTGATCAACAGGATTATTTGTAAAGAGTTAACCGTAGTGAGGGTATACTATCATCTCACCGTAGTGGTCCACCATAGTTTGTTAAGATTTATGGGACATTTCATTTAACATAGTCGTATTATGTTCTTATCAGTTGGTAAGAATTCTCTTGTAGTACATGCTCATCAAACCATATCAATTATCCGTGTGCCATGTTCATTTAAAATAGGTATTGGGTATTTGTTAAAACTCTTAAAGTGTACTTACTCGTGAATAATTATTACATCTGATAAGCACAAACCATTCTTATCCAATATGGCACGATTAAGGCTTATTCAGTAAAAAATTAATTATAGCTGAAAACTATTTTATATATTCATATAGATGAACGTAAATGTTTAAACTATCACTTTCTGCATAAATAAATTCCTTACTGTTAATGGTTATCTTCCGAGTCTTGTTGTTAAACTAAATTAACTTTTTTCAATAGTTGAGACCATGAGTCAGTTGAAGCTAGACCATCACGATCCCGCCTCGCGAGATTCGAACACAGGACCTATTAGACTGGCGCGCGAGCGCTTAACCACTAGAGCACAAATGCGCACTGCTGAGGAGTTTCACAATAGGACGAAACGGTCGTCCAGCGCTTCCACGTTTTTCATGGTGGTCTAGCTTCAATTGACTCATGTTCTCAACCATTGAAATGACTATAATATCTACAAAACCCCTTCTGAAATTAACTTATATTCCACAGATTGATAATTTCTGTACAACGCCGTAAATACCGTACCGAAATTAGTTTCGTGCACCGTTTCAGTTGTATGCTTTACTACCGATGAACATATCTTCTTCTTCTTTACATACTTATTAAATTTGTAGTTAGGAAACAGAGTTTTCATGCAAAATGTAGGCAACCATCATGTGTAATAACAATGAATAGTAGCTCTCATATTGTTCAGAATAAAAAAGTTTGGTATTAGTGTTTAATTTTCTTGACTCTCTACACTCACAGCACTTGAAATTTACGTTATTATTTCATTATCAAATGTTTTTAAATTGAAGTATAGTTCAAGGAAGAAAATGGACTGAACAGTTATCATGATTTATAAGCGAAGATGGATAGTGGCTAGTAGCGAAACCCAGGACGCGCGTTTCTTCCCAAGTGAACGACGTGATGGCGTTTGGAGCAAACGGTACTGGGTTCGTGTCCCGGAGTAAACATCAAGTCTGGGATGTAGGCACATCTAGCTGACGAGTCCCAAATGGGACGAAACGCGCATCCTGGATTCCACTGCTAGCCACTATTCACCACTGCTTATAAAGCTTGCGACTTAAGGCAATATCGAGACAGTCCGCACAGGATGCACATATATCAACAAGAGACTTATCATTTGCAGTCCTAAATGTTAGGATAGTCGGAAAAAGACCAATAATTACCATGTTAAGTTCAATGGTGTCCTTGAACCTTAAATGTACATTTCTTATTGGTCGATGTTTATTTCACTTGTTAAATATTGTACAAACGTTGTTTCCTATTTTATGGTACGATGTGGTTTGTTTGCTTGGTATATAAATAGAGTATGTTTGAAATACAATGATTCATAACTCAGAGGCTGTGACTTGTGTTCTTCACTCAACTGGGCTAGGACGGACAGCGAAGCAGGGCCAATCAGGGCACTAGGTCGTCCGTACGTGTTTTCCGTGTCACTGTCACAGTTCGCGATCGATAAAATACGCTGCGTATCTAAAACCTGCAGTCACACAACCGTTACAACACTAAATAACAATGGGAAGATACAAGTACACAACACCAAATGAATTTAAGCCATCATTATCACCTTAGTAATTACAAAATCTCATATCAGTAAACCAATAGTTTGTAGTTTGACATATAATTACGAAAACTAGTATAGTTTTTGTATGAACCAATAATTTCTAATAGCAAACATTATTCGGTCATTGGGCGGATGGATACCTGATGTAAAGCATTCTAGCTTAATTAAAAATACTAGACATGATAACGGAAATATGTAGAGATATATTTCATTGTTAGGTAGTATTCCTGGAGGATTCACGGATACTTACCTCTAAATAGTTTAATAGTAGGATTAAACAGTTGTCTACTGTTCCCTCATTCTCATTGGTACTCCAACTGATGTCAATCTGTGATTGATACTAATTGCAAAAATTCATTTAAAAAAAATCAAGTCTAATAATTAGAAAATGTGGGTTGCTATTGAAAAGAAGTACAAAAGTCATGTTGCTATAGCAAACACAGTGGATGTTAAATATCACATGCCTCTATTATTTAGTTATCCATGCCATGTGATTGTTTTAATTAACTTTAAGTGGTAATTGTCTGGGGAGGATAGTTTCCAGATTTTTTTGTTTACTCTATGTAATTTGGCAAATTCTCCTTAATCAGTGCAATTATTAATGCCTTTTGAAAAACACAGTATTATTTGTCGGTGTTGAAACCATAAGAGATTACCTTATATCCAACCTTCTGGTCAATTATGCACTACATGCAACCTTCAAAAGTGAATTAATCAACTTTATATATTGAAGCGAACATCAATTATGAGAAAGCTATTTGTCAGAGGAAATCCCATATATTCTATTCGTAAATCATCACTAGTACGAATCGTAATACATTTAAGCCAAAACCTCTGATCCAGTATTTCAGAATGTATTTATACCATAACTGATGAAAGCTACGTTTAAGTGTATGTTCAAATCGAAGATAACATGAGATGGCGGAGAAGTACAGTGTGTATGATAACTTTGAAACTTATCATTGTACTACTTATTTATGAGTGCTATTAATTGTTGGATGCAAAAACCAGAACTTACAGCGTTTGTACTGTGGTCAATGATTCAACTAGGCTGCCTGAATTGAAGAAGGTGCACACTTTGAATATACGTGTAAGTTCTTAAATGATAAATGTTTCATATGTAAGCCACCTCTAAGCTGAACAGTATGAATTGCTAATAATGTTTCGGATTTACATGGTTGCAAATGATTTCTACAGAAATCCAAAGATTTCAAACTGTAAAGCAGTAGTGAGCAAACAAACAGTTTGGGTTCTTTATTGGGATTATGTTCAAAAGCACATGTAGAAAAAAAAAATATATATATATATATATATATATATATATATATATATATATATATATATATATATACTACTTATTGGTTTAATGAAGACAACACAAGTGGATTTAATATTTTGACAATTAAAGTTGATCCAAATATTAATAACATAAATAATATGAGGATACGTTTTTTCACATTACCAATAGTTGAGATCAAACACAAACTAAAAATTTACAATATTTAGAACAACACTGACTATTCTTCATGCAAGCATAGTTTGAACGAATGCAGTTTTGGCAAGTTCCCGCACCAAGCATATCATATTCACAGAGTAATTTGCCACAACAACGACGGAAAATTGTTCCTGTACAAGGTGAACCAAGTTTCTGGCAACAGTAGTTCACTGATTTGTAAAAGGAATATTATGAAGGATTAAAATATATTAAAAGTGTAAATATACTGATTTTAGATTTTTCGTTACAATATTCATATAACCAACCCCAATATCTATCAAGATTTGCCATCTAAACTATATGAGTATTTCATATAAGCATTGCATAAAAGAAAATAACATTATGGCCTGAAAATCCTTGAATACAATCATGATAAATTAGAGTCAAATGACTGTTACTTTAGTCTTTGATCATTGTTAAGGTAAACTGTCTGGTAATAGATTATTGTGAATTAACTATGCAATATGGTGTAGGTAAAAAGAAAAATGACCTTGATTCTAAAAGATGTAAAACTGTTTCTCGGTTTGACAAATGATATGTCAAGAGTATTTCACACAAAAGTTATATTTTAGTACAGACTAACATCAACCGGTATATCAGTTTAAACTAATGCTAGACCTACAGTTCGTTCAAGTTTACAATTTCTAAGCAGTAATAGCTTAGAATTCCAGCTGGAATTATCGTTTACATATTCAGGCATCATGATAAGCATATAATTGAAGGACTAAATGGAAATCCATCCTATGAATTTCCGTTTCTTGAATGATCAAAAGTGATTGAAATAAAATATTCCTGATACATTCAAATATCATAATACTTCATACATATAAATATACACAATATTTCAGTTTCTCAATGGAGTAATCGCTTATACATTTTATGGTTAACACCGTAAATATATGTAGGAACTACATGTTTACTTTCTAGCTGTTGACATTCATACAATGTTTACTTTTCTCAGGTTTACTAGGATTAGACTAAGCTTTAAAATATTAGTTCTTTATACTATTAAAACTCATTTCAACAGACACGGTTCCTTTTTGTACACATGCCTAGTTATGATAAGAACTATACTATTATATCAAGAAAATCAATATATCAAAGGATTGAAGTTTACATCTATTAAAAACTATGTGTGGAATACAAACTGATCCATGAATACTTTGTAATTGAAAATTTAAAAAAAAATGGTGATAGAAATGTGTTTAAGCCTTAATTACTAAATGTTCTGCTTAGCTGTCATTAAAATTGTATACAAGATTATTTATTTGTGATTACAACAGATAATTAGTCAAATTACTCAATTATACAAACAATTTTAGATCATATAAAAGATCTGTTCTAAATGTTTAAGAAAGACTTAAAAATATTAAATGGATCTAGATTGGACACTGACTAACTGACGTTCCATTTATGTTTAACTGTTACTGAAACAATTGGAACATCAGATTCAAAACGCAGAGACTATTAGTTATACTTTCCTACTAAGGGTACTATCATCCTTAATAAAACAATGTAGTTAACTACATGTCATTAAGTGAATCAATATCATTCACCTTTTTATTTTCACAAATTATATCCAATCTCTTCTTACAAGTTCACTTCAGTTGACTGAGCTTAAGCTTTATCCAGATTTGATCTAATGGTCTGTTTTTTTTTATTATGACACTTGACAGTATCATCTGATAGTTTTCTTAAAATTAACTATTTGGTCATAATCAAAATTTTGATTATTACCCTGAAGAAGTCGAGACAAGTTAGCTGGACGAAATGTTGGAATTATTCCTAAATTTCAATCGGTGAGATAATTTCAAATATAATTTTCACATATAACGACTTCTCTGTACTTGGCGCCCAATTTTTGTCAAACTATTCGTTTTAATCTTGATGAATATTCGTATAAATTAACCATTTGGTGCTTAATTAGTTTATCACTTTACATCTATTTAATATAGAAATCTACATTCATTTAAAGAATTTTTAATATTCAAGGAAAACGAACTCACTTTTCAGTAGTATAGTTATTAAAAATAGAAAGTATAATGTATAATTAGTCAAATAAGAGCACATCAAAAAAATAAAACTGTCCAAATGATAATTAATTTTTAAATGTCATTAAGTGTTTATTATAGTTAATGATCATCCAATCAGATTCACTACTTTTTAAATTTGAAATAAACACCCAATGAAAATTAACATTTTAATGAACAATTTTCACTCAACTAACTTTTAGTCATTTGAAATAATCTATTTCAACTCAGTGGTCTAGAGATTAAGCGTTCGCGCTCCAAACCGGAGGTCCTCGGTTTGAGTCCCACATGCAGGATCATAGATGCGTATTGTTAAGGGGTCCAATACTAGGTCAAAACGGTCGTTCAGTGCTTACAGATTACCAGTGGTGCTCTAGCTTACATCGGTTCATGAATTCAACTACTGAAATAGTAATGTTTGATAAAAAGGAATCACAATGTAATGAAAGATAAATAATGGAAGTGAGAGCTGATTAATTAAAAGTACATACATACCAACGCAAAATAATGAGTAACAACCACTAGATCTATTTACTGGTGTAACTCGGCTTAAGAGCAGTTTATCGTAAGGTAAATAAATTAGTATCGATCCAATTCATGTTCAATGACTGATGCTGGCATATTCGGGTAACAAAATTAAAAGAACCAATACTTCATCGATAATTGAGGCCACACAGACTATCCTAGTTCAGTAGGAGCTAATAGACACCAAAAAAGACAGGTCCTATCAACAAGATGATCAGTTCAGTAAATTGCCAACGACATCACTACTGAAGGATCTAGAGGCAGGGTGAGATAGGTGTTTGGTGCACATCTAAGCTGCAACATTTTGCCAACTGATTTCAGTCAGTTAATGATAGAAAATTAGCCAGTCTGTCAAACGATAATCGTTTAGTGATTAGTGACCAATTTTAAAGTGGGTTGCCGATGTTTTATGAAGGTACGTAAATGGTAGGACTCAATTATGCTGACAGTATGGTATAGATAGTCGACGACTGTGAATGTCTGTCATACTTCAAAAATATGAACCGTTGTATTCTAACTCACTGGCATCAATGTTATGATTCTAGCAACGGAAATTAAAGCTCTTAGTTTCGATCCTTAATGATATGAAAAATGTGAACTGCTATGATAGAATCTGAAATTATCATAAAATATGTGTGGTAGTTATCTCAGTACGTTTCATCAAGAGATGTTAAGTCAGTGATGAGAAATAGGTAGCTACTGTTTACCGATCTCCGAACAAAACCACGACAGGATTTGTTGGAATATTTAGTCCTACTACCTTTTGGCTCTGGGTAATAATTCAAGTGTGTTTTTCATCCTAGTTCCTAGAAGTTAACTGATTACCTTGGGATTTCTAGTTACCGCTAACTATTGTAAATGAGGACTGTTTAATATAACTAATCAAAAATAAGTCATTTCAAATTTTCTGTTCTCTAGACGATCAAGTGGTCCAGTTCTAGTCATTCAGTCCCTTATAATCTAGCTATATGAAGATTTTGATCTCGTTACTTATCTTGCTTAATTTCATTTGATTTGGTTGCTCGTCAGACGTTGTCTAACTGTATTGAATCCTTCCGGTTCGGCGAATTTCCTAATAGTAGGCATCGCTAATGACGATCTTTGACTTAATACACTAGCCGTGTCCATTTTTAAAGTACCGTACTCATTACATTTGGGATGTATTTGTAACATTTGGAAGATTCTTGTTTTGAATTTATTTAAATAAGTATCAATCTAGCTACATTTGCTTTTTAAATATTAGCACGTCACTACAACTAACCTAGATGTTTCCAGGTGCGTTTGATATTTATGGTAATAATGTGTATTTAGTTGTCATCTAACTGAATTGATGATAACCTGACTACAGATATTCACTTGTATTTACAAATAATAATGCTTGTATCTGTACCGTTAATCAATATGCTGAGATGTGACTATCATCTTTTTTAACATGTGTCAGTGTTCACAATGAATTTGGTGTTACGTTAATATGTACTGTAGCTAGAAATTTCACAGAGATTCATTTTCTGTCACCTTAATCTAAGATCATTCATGTGATTACCATTTAGTCATGTTCATGCTGTCAAGGTTTATTTAGTGATCACTGACCTTTGTACTTGAAAAGATGTACGTACTTTGATCGCAATGTTTGTTTATAATTGCACTAAAGAGACAAAGATATCATGTTCTTTTATATGTAAAATGTTGTTTAACTGAATAGTATTATTCATGGTGATTAAAGAAAAAGGAATTTTGACGAATAAAATAGAAGGTGAAACATTCTGACTAACCAGCCAACACAGTTTGATTTAACTTCGGAAATTATCCCATGTTTAATCAGTGAATAAACTAAGGTTGTAGAGATGCATTCCATTCAGTGATGATTCACTAGTTAACAGCGCAATAAATTCAAAATTTTAATAGTTGAGATCACGAGTCAGTTGAAGGTAGATCACCATGGAAAACCTGGGAACACTGGACGGCCGTTTCATCCTATCGTGGGACTCCGCAGCTGTGCGTCCACGATTGCGCCCCGCGAGATTCGAACCCAGGACCTATCGGTCTAGCGCGCGAACGTTTAACCTCTAGACCACTGAGCTGGCATCCAACGTCCAGTGTCTCCAGGTTTTCCATGGTTGTCTAACTTCAATTGAATCATGACCTCAACTATTAAAATCACCATAATATCCACAATACCTCTTCAGAATTATTAAAATAATATGATTATGTTTATTTTGTAAATCACTGCGGATAATTGCCGATGTTCATAATGATTAAAAGTAATTAACAAGTAAGCAGCAGTAATGAAATATCAAAATATTTAATCATGTTTCAGTAGAATGATGAATAAACGGGGTTAGGCATTCATTAGCATGAGAAAATTTACTGAACTTACGCGCTAGAGAAATAAGCGCATTATATGGGCAGAAATTGTTGAAGTTTGGACAGGGACTTTTATTATTATTATTATCATTATCAGAAAGGGGATTTTGTGGATATTATAGTAATTTTAATAGTTGAATTCATGAGTCAATTAACGCTAGACCATCACAAAAAACCTGGAAGTACTGGACAACCGTTCCGTTCTAGTATGAAACTTCTCAGCAGTGCACATTCACGATCCCTCCTCGCGAAATTCGAACCCAGGACCTATCGTTATTTTTCTTATTATTATTACTGTTATTATTAATATTCTATTGTTAAGTTTAATAAAATCTTGGCTATAACAAAACTCAGACCACCCTTATTTGTACAAAATAATTTGCTCTAACAGTGAATGTACCATAGTAATTGTTAATCAATTCAAAGCCCTAGAGTGATGTGATAACTTATTTTTTCCGTATTATTGCAAATTTCTTCTCTCTTTTATTTTGAGTTATCATGATTGAACAAGGAGTCATGGCGTCAATATGATTTCTGTTAGATATGTATCGGCCAATAAATCCCCAAAATCAGATAGCTCTGTAAGTCATTGGCATTGATTCTGACTTCATTAGTATTACTGAAAATACCTAGCTGAAGGAGCTTGGTCACGCATCCGCACAAAATCACGAGTGGTTACACCGTGCTACGCATTCCTTGCAACTGCTCTCCAGCTTAGACCAAACGCTTCTCCATATATAGATAGCTTTCCAAGTATATGTTCAAACTCTTTCATTGCTAACTTCTGATTTGATTGGGCTGGTATACTTAGATTATAAAGTTATTATGTGTAAAGGCGTTGTTAAACTTCGGATACCTATGGCATCCTTATGTACAGCATTTAAGACAGATATACAACCTGCTTTTTATTAAAGTGTTTATCAGTAGCTGTTCGTTAGGAAATGAATGTCTTCGGTCTTTAAGTTTCATCAAGTTCCAAAGTGATGACGATAGGATGGAGGTGAGTTACTTTCTTAATTGACAATCATATAGTAACAGGTTCATTAAGAGAACATTTATTTTGAAATGGTGAGCTACTCCTTTAAATAGTTGCTAGATTCTTTTCCAAATTTACGGGAATGTCGTTAGTGATTAAAAAGAATCAAGAATATGATGAATATATTTATTAAATCTATTGATAATACAAACTTTTTTCTCATCTTTTTTTTACTAATTGCTTAGTTCCGGTAGTTGTATGACCTAAATTCAAATTATTTACTTAACAATTAAGATCATACTTAAATGTTTGTATCACTGACCCAATAGGTTTATAGGAAGATGGAATGAATTTCAATATTTTTTGGTTGTTTTTGCGTTGCTAATGTGGTAACGTAAAAAGAACTTAGGGAAAAATGAAAGTTGTATTGTTATGTTGTTGTCTAATATGTGTTTCTAAGGTAAAATGGTCTGAGTCAATCGCTGTAATGTAGTTGTTTCCTAAGCCACTGAAAAAAAACACTGGTTTCATAGGAAGATCAACAAAGAAATCAATAGGCCTACATCGACCTATCGATCTATCCATATGTGAGTTATTACCTATCTTTGTTTCCATTGTCAATATTAGTTCATTCTCGTACAAGTGCAGTAATGAGACTTTTATCTACTCCATCTATCCTGATGTCTTGAATGTGATTTATATTATTAAGTTGATTGACTATTACAGTTATCGGGAGTGTATGGTATGGACATCAATGACAATGAACTATGATGCCAAAATGTTCAGATTTCAACAATGTGTTGGCGAATAAGATATATTTTATTATCTAGATTCACGTATTTATCCACATAACTCAATTTGACGATGAATATTTCATTACCATTAACTTCTTTTGTTTGTGTATGACACCTATTTTTCATCAATGGCTAAGTCCCTAGCGCTTTTATTTGTAGACATTAATTATCTGTTCATTCACGCATACAAGCTGTATGCGTGATATCAGATCTCCACTAATTCCTTCGTTCGTATTGAGTTTTGGAACAGAATTCATGGAATTTCCGTTTGGACCACTGTAGTGTGATGACAATCTTTATCTAATACAGAACAAAACTTTTGAAGAAATACACAGTCCAAATGATCTAATTGTAAATTCATCTTTCATGGCTTTTGGAGGCGAAATTACGTAAGGCTTTTGTT